TCTTATGTTATATAAACAGTGAAATGTAGAGGTAGGTTGAATATTGGTATTTTTATAAGGTTTGTAGTACGAAAGGACCCAAATAACCCTATAATAGGAATAAATAAACTTTAGAATAAATAGTTATATTATTTAAACTAATAGAATTAGAATTATTATTCTTATCATTAGTATTAATTACATTAGGATTAGAGTAGGATTTAATAAAATTATTATTATTCTTATTATACTTGCTAATAACATTATTATTATTAATATAATTATGGTTACTAACTATATTTATTTTTTTGTTAGAGTTAGATTTATTATTTTTATTGTTATTATTAGACCTAAGATTAAAGTAAAAAATTCGCCGCCGAACTACTCTCGTCGGAGACAAAGGAGTGTTAGAAAGGCTTAAGAGAAAGTCTCTAGAATAAGACATAATAATATTTTCAAGTTAAGGAAAAGATGTTGAAAGATATAGAAAAAAATAGTCATAGTAAAAAAGAAGAGAACTCACTTGTTCAGAAGCAGAAAACAAGAATCCACCCAAATTAAAAAACCACCGAGAAAACGTGCCGCCATCACGCTAAACGTAAATCTTACAACAGTATAAATATCAATCAATCTTCGTTTTGCGTCCAGAGACCCGGTTCCCCGAGGTAGGACTTATACAACAGTATAAATGATTTTATATTGAGATATTTGAAATGCCTATCCATAATGCCCAAAATTGAAAAAGCCCTATCAATGATATTGTGGATATGTTCTAAAAATTTTAATGACCGATCAAATATAACTCCCAAATCATTAACACTATTCATAAATGACAAATTATGTGCATTCACACTGTAACATACATTAATTCCTATACTTGATCCATAAGTCATCATAACACACTTCTCAACATTCAATTTTATCTCATTTAAAGTGCACCAATCATTCAACATATTTATACCATTTGACTGCGAGGAGTTTGGACTTCTATATATTGCTAAAAACAATATATAATCTTTTTTCTTTTTTACCTGATAACTTTATACATATATGCTCTTCAAAATTTGTTCTCAAATTAATTACACTTGAAATTAACCCTTCTTTGACATAACAAAATACTCCCCTGTAACCTGCTTTCATAAAATTTATATTGTACAATTTAAATCCTTTAATATTAAATTTACTAACTTGATAATCTGCATTAATTTATTTTGCATTCGTTTCTACAAAAATTAAAATATGATATTTTATAGGAGAAACATCTAACAAACTTTTAATCTCATCTAACTTATTACAAATGCAATCCACATTCGAGTACATTACATTCAAATCCACTTCATTTACGATGACTGGATTTACTTTATTTTCACCACTCTCATGCTTCCTGGCATTCCCCATCCTGTATATAAATGCCCCCTTATCTAATTTCTGTTTTTCAATTGCTTCATTAACCAACTTTTTTCTCTCCTCTCTTTGTTCCTTATTTAGATCATGTGATATACTTATTTTCTTCAAATCTTCATCTAAACTTTTTATTTTGTACAAATTTTCCATAATAAGGTTTTTTTTCATTCTACTATCAAATTTAACCAGCAATAGCCTTGGGGCGTTATCTTTACTTTTTAATCTAAAAAATTTAGTCACATCAGTTTCTGAAACCTGGTTATTTGACAAAACTGAACAAATTTCACTTATTCTTTTATCTCTATGAGTCTATTTGATTCGACACCAACTTCTGAATTTTCACTTAAACCAAAAATTATTATGTTGCTTGCTCTATCCTCTGCGTCATACCTACTTATAATACTATTATTAGTTTTTGATAAAGTTTGGCAAACTGCACGTACTTCTTTATTTGTGCCTCCAACTTTTTTTGTTAACTCTTCGCTTACAACTTTTGCCCTGTTACCCTTCCCATCATTCCTTATACTCACAACTGGTTCAGTAACTGATTTTCTTCAAACCTCCAGATAAATCTTCTGTATTTAATCTTCTCTAATTAATATCGTCATCTTACGCAATTTACTGTAATAGGAACACGATTTGAACATAATTTAATGCTGATTCTAATTCCTTTTGTGCCCATTTAAAATGTATTGCGAGCATTGTAGAATATCTATATAATTTACATTATAAGTTTTATTATTTTAACTTTATAATTACAATGTATGTTTTAAAATGAAAATAAAAGGATTATTATTATTATTTCTGTTGTTGATGATGTTGCTGTTATTATCGTTATTGTTATTATCACCATTGTTAGATTGTTGGTTGATCCAATTAACTTTATTGTTCACTCTTCGAGTTGGAAGTGTTGTTGTGATTCGTTGATGGATGTTGATGGAATAATAATAATAAAAATAAAAATCATTTATGAAGCGCCAATGCAAGCGACTGAGGCGCCCTCGGAACCAAGAAATTAATAATTGACCATGGTGGTATGAGTTCAATAGCAATGACAATAATAAAATTAATAATTAATAATAATAACAATTGACCATGGTAATCATGGTAAAATAAGTTCAATAGCATTAAAAATTGCTGGATGAATATTGCAATAATAATATTATAAAAAGAGGTTAATTAGAAGCAACATATAAAAACTATTGTCAATTCAGAGCAAGATTAAAATAATAAGTTTTTAAATTAGATTTAAATCCACAGAGGGAGCTAGAATTTCTAATATTCTGAGGCAAAGAATTCCAAACACTTGCAACAGCGTGACGAAATGCTCTTTTCCCAATGTTGGTTGAAGAAATATGTTGAAAAAGTGTTGGTGCTTTGGCAGAGCGAAGATATTGATTATTCTTATTTAGATGAAGAAGACAATCAAGATACAAGGTGAATGTGATGACAACAACTTGAAAACGATGATGGCGATTTTATACTGGATACGGTGACGAAATGGAAGCCAATGAAGGTTTTTCAAATTAGATGTTGCAAGATATTAGTTGATTTGGTGGTGTATCAGTACCTAGTACAACTTTGGCAGCCCGATTCATCAGCTTCTGGAGACGTGTTTCCTGCTTCTGAGATATGCCAAACATTATTGAATTACAATAATCAAGTTTGATATGATAATTGCACGCTTTAATAATAGATTTAATATGATTTGAAAAAGTTAGTTTCTTGTCAAGAACAACACCGAGTGTTTTTAAAGTGTCACATACAGGGATATCACAATTACCAATCCTGATTGATGTCATGTCTTGTAACTTTTGATTGTGTGGAATGAGCCAAATTTGATGACCTCAGTTTTATTTGAGTTGAATTGAAGATTATTGAGAAGAAACCACCTCTTCATGGCAGCATTGCACGTAGTGATGGCATTCACGTTTGATGAAATATCATTATTCAATGAGATGAAAGGTTGTGTATCATCAGCATATTGATGGTAGGATACGTTGAATCTGTTGATAATCTCGTGAATTGGCGAGATATATAACGTAAAAAGAAGAAGACCCAAACCGCGCCCTGGGATACACCATGCTGTAGTTGAATTGTAGGTGATACATATTCTAATATTTTGACAAATTGACTACTACCAGACAGGTAGGATGAGAGCCAGGTGAAGGCAGATCTATCCACACCAAAAACAGTGTTTAGACGTTTTAATAATATGTCATGACTGATAGTATCAAAGGCTGCCGACAAGTCCAACCCAGCAAGAATTTTTGCCTGTTTGCTGTTGCAGGAGTTTTTCATATTCGAGGAAAATAGCTTTTGCGATTCTTAGGTTGTAGCGCTGTCGATTGTTGTATAAATTTTTGTGTTGTTATTTAGAAGGTTCCTAGTTATTGGGGTGTTGTGGAAAGTTTTTTGATGGTTTTTTATTGCACCATCTCTTTTATGTACCTATAGTGAGTCTACGCGATAGTGTTGTAGTAGTCATCCGTATATAGGAAAATTTTTCATTAAAATTTCATGTTTCTTTTTCGAATTTTTCTAATATATTTTTAATAATATTAAAACTATAATAATAATAATTAATATATTAATGAATAATGCACTGACGATGACGGTTTAACGTCGAAATAGATCTATCTGCAATAATTTTGATAAAATGTTTGTTAATAAAAATAAAGCTTCAATTTTAAATAGTTTTAATTTTGTTGAAAAAAATTTACTAAGACAAATTGGAAAACTCTAATATAATTTGATAAACACTAATAAATCGGTGGAATTTATTATATATATAAATAAATAAATAAATAAATATATATATATATATATATATATATATATATATATATATATATATATTTGGTAACAGACTACTGTTAACGCAACATTTCAAAAATTCAACACTACTTTC